ATTTCCTGTTTATTTCCTTCCTGATTGTCCTCCTATGGCAGGTGTGAGCAATAATTGCTATCAGGAGCAGATATCGGTGTAGATAGGCTGGATAAAGCCCTACACCACACAGCAAGATACCCAACAAGGTCATCATGATCTGTGGGACAGGCAAACACAGCACTATACAGAAGAACTGCTTGTTGAATGTGTGAGGGGTCTTTGGGGCTTTGTTGTGCAGAACTGCCTGTGCTTAATAAAGATTGATACACACAGATGATGCCCGGCCAAGTAAAACCACATAATTTACCCAAACCTAGAACAAATACCTCATACCTCTTAGATTCACTTCTCTTTCTGTCTAGCAGTTAAAATGAAATTAGTCAATCCAGGATTAATTTCATTCTTAACTTATTGCTGCCATAAGTGATTTAAGTACAACTAGAGTCACCAAACATAATAAATTATATACAAATATAATACAGAGAATAATAATAATAATAATAGGTCAACCAATATTATCGGCCGATATTTGGCATGATAACGGTTGGAAACAGGACTTTTATTTTGACAACACTGAGAACCTAGCACCTGAACGCTTAATCTAGTTCAAATTATTTGAATAAATGTATTAATTCTCAAGTTATTTATAATTATTTTAGTAAATATTATGTGAAATAAACATTTAATTGCAGAAATTATGCATGTGTTATTTGCAATCGAAATTAAATTTAGTGTGATACCATACAGGCCTATATTGCCTTTATATCTGCTTCAATACGCATTTTCCTCCACCTCTTACCAAACCACACCCATTCCCAATGACCCCGCCCTCTCTATATCGCCACCTCTCTCTCAGAGCTCTGCCTCTATGCAGGCTTCACACTGATCCTAATCTCTCGCTGTTTGAACTGGGAAGCAGTGCCAGCGACTGCCTCTGCATACCAACATGAAACAACAGACAGAAATAGGAGAAACAAAGGCGGCATGGACTAAATAAAATGGACTAAAAACACATCAAAAACAAAAAAGGCAAATACAGCACAGTGCCTGTTAGAGAGTAAATATGCCATTACATATTTGTCTAAGAATAAGACTGAAAGAGAGAGAGAGCGCTGGTGGAAGGGATTTGTGCAGCATCTTTCAGTCTCAGTGACTTTATCTACTTGATTATAATCCCATAATAAGATCATTTAACATGTAACATTCTCTCAGATTTCTCTTCCTTCACAGATCTTTTCCCCATGTTTCCTCTGCAGCCTCCCCTCCTCCCATCTCTTTGTCACACATTTGCATTTCTCCATCAGTCTATAGAGTCCATAGGAGGCAAATGAATGCAGTCTTTGCTCCACTTTCGTGGCTTGATATAACAAGACAAATACATATGCTTTTTGCAGCTCCTTAGTTTTCCTCAAGAACCACTTTGGCTATAAAGGGGTCTTGTACTGGCTATATTATTTTTCTAAGTTCTTTAAGATCTCGTGATATCAAAATAAATCAGTTTTGCGTATTTTAGTCCATGTGTTTTAGCCATGAAGCTATCTTATATATTATTGTACTCATAACTGAAACTGCAGCAGATAAACATTTAAAATTTGCAATTTTTATCTTCAAGACAAACCGGAGAAAAACGAAGATGACTCATCCCCGCACTACACTGATTTTTGCCCAGTCAGATGCACTCTGGATTGAGAATGACCCTAATCTTAAAGGGACAGTTCACCTAAAAATGAAAATCATCATTTACTCACTCTCATGTCGTTCCAAACCTGTATGACTTTCTTTTGTTGAACTTAAAATAATCTTGAACTTTAAATCATTTTGATCAGTGGTAACCCATGCTGTTTTCAAAATGCAATGTTTAGTAGAGCACAGAGGAAAGAAAGGATAAGCAAACAATGGAAATTTAATTTATGTGTAAACTATTCCTTTAATTTTAAACACAAATCAACTAGCAAGCAGAACATCACATTTCATTAGTGTGACGAACCTAAAGACCTTTCCGGAAATATATCAAGAGGACAAAAACACTACACTCATCTGGTTCATAGACAGTTTTCTAAGAAAATCAATCATATTCAATTGTTAAAGTTTGATTAGACATTTTTTAAATTTTAAAAACTGTATAAAACCAATCATTAAAAATAAAAGATTTCATAGGATTTCATAGGGCCTATATCTTGCAATGCATTGTAAGAATGAATAGAGATATGATGGTAAATCCTCACTGAGCTTGGATTATGTTATGTTTCACACATAAGATGCTATGGGACTGTGTGGGTAAATGTGGATCGGTTGTATAATTAATATTATTTGTCTTCTAGTGTGATATGCGAAGCAATGGAAGGGCTTTACTAGACACTCAACCATCATTAACGCTGAAGAGCATTTCGAGGGAAAAATCGCTCCACTCAGACTAACTATACATGCTCAAAGATGCCATAGCACAGAATGGTTATTTGGACATTGGGGGCTTTTAATTTACACATAAATTAAAAATCACTTCTGAGTGATTTTCAATTGTAATTTAGGCATGATTTTACAGACTTGCATACACATAAACACGCTCGCTGTAGCCATCTGAGATGCACAACAGTTTGGGCAAGAATGGAATTCACACATGAATAGAACAAGAAGCAGGTGATGTTTTCACTCCTGGGAACAGGATACAATGACCAGCGTGTTCTCATCACAATGACAATGGAACAATGAAACCTGTGTCACTATGACAATGACAACGGATTGGAACATGACAGGAATCCTTGTCTTTGTCAGACGTGGACAATTTTGTAATATTTGCCCCTAGAGGAAAGCTTCATCCTGCAGAAAACATAAGTGCTAGCACATGTTCACATACATTTCATTGTCCAGATGTTTGTTTGATTATGACCATTAGAATCAGTTGGGAAGATTTTTGCAGTAGTTGTTGATTTCCTAATAAGTACTGTGGCAGTATCAGATGGCAATATAAATGGTACATTGATGAACTTTGTTGTTTAGGAGTAAGATATTTTTGAATAAGAGCTGCAGTACTCTCTTGAACGCGCGTTGAAGATTGACACAGAAGAGAAAAAATTGTTGAATAAAGTCATTATTTCTGTTTTCTTTGCGCACATAAAGTATTCTCGAAGCTTCATAAAATTACAGTTGAACCACTGATGTTACATGGACTATTTTAACAATGTCCTTACTACCTTTCTGGGCTTTGAACGTTGTAGTTCCGTTGCTGTCTATGAAGGGTCAAAAAACTCTCGGATTTCATCAAAAATATCTGAATTTGTCATGGTCTTATGGGTTTGAAACGACATGAGGGTGAATAATTAATGACAGAATTTTCTTTTTTTTTGGGTGAACTATCCCTCTTATGAAAATAATTTGTTCACTTAAAACATCCATTTATCACCGAAACTCCACTAGTGTAAACAAGTATGCAGCAATACAATTCAATCTAAAAAAACATTCAGATTGTTGTGGCTGGCCAGATTTGGCCCGCAGGCTGGACTTTGGGTCTCTCTTTTTCTTTTTCTGTCTGTTAACTAATGTGTATGGGAAGTCCAGCTTAATGGAGTGAAAGACTGCAGGGACTGAATGATAGGGGCCAAACGGCAGGTTTAAAACAGAGGATTCCAGTTAATCCTCATCCAAACACACAAATACTCACAGACAGACCATACTCACACTCCTATAATCAGGGCTATTTGAACCGACTGGAACACAAATGGAACCTGTCAAGGTGTGAGATATATTAGGCAGCAAGTGAACAGTCAGTTCTTGAATTTCATGTGTTAGAAGCAGGAAAAATGGGCAAGAGAAAAGTAACTTTGATAAGGGCCAAACAGTGATGGCTAGACGACTGGGTCAGAGCATCTTCAAAATGGCAACTCTTGTGGAGTGTTCCCACTATTCAGTGGTTAGTACCTACCAAAATTCGAACAATGAAGGACAGCCTATGAACCGTTGTCAGGTCTTGGGTGGCCAAGGCTCATTGATGAGGAGAGCATGATCAGCCCGATCACACAAAAGAGCTACTGTAGCACAAATTTCTGAAAAGCTTAATGCTGGCCATTATATAAATTTGTCAGAACTCACAGTGGATCACAGTTTGTTGTCAGAGTGCCCTGATGACCCCTGCCCACAGCTGAAAGCACCTAAATCGGCATGCAACCATCAGAACTGGACCATGGAGCAATGGAAGAAGGTTGCCTGATCTGATGAATCATGCTTTCTTTTAGATCAGGTGAATGGTGGGTGCATGCACATCATTGTCTTGAGGAAGAGATGGCAGCAGGATGACAAAAGCAGTGTTATGATCTGGTCAATGTTCTGATGGGAAACCTTGGGTCCTGGCATTCATGTGGATCTTTGACACGTACCACCGACCTAAATATTATTGTAGACCACATACACCCCCTTCATGGCACAGTGGTGTTCTCTGATGGCAGTGGCCTCTTTCATTAAGAAAAATCCACTGCAAAAATTGTCAGAAATGGTTTGAGGAACATGACAGAGTTCAAGGTGTTTACATGGCTTCCAAATTCCCCAGATTTCAGTCAGACTGAGCATCTATGGAATGAGCTGGACCAACAAATCTAATCCATAGATGATCCACCTCAACCTGTAGGACAGCAGTCTGCTGCTGCTAATGTCTTGGTGCCAGAGACCACAAGACACATTCAGAGCAGGGGTGTAACAGTACATGTATTCATCCTGAACCATTGCGGTACATACATCATGGTTTGGTTGCTTTCAGACGACGAATACAGTCATTCATAGATTATCAATTCAGAAGGGGTATGCGCGATAATTCAAGGCTAACCGTCACAACATGAAAGAGCAGAAAAGAGATGATTTATTTACCAACCACTGAACTATAATAGAAAACATTATATAGATCAGTGGCACCAACACAAAACAAGAGTCACTGGTCTACCGGCTATAAATTGGAACCGGTTTTTAGTTTTAGTTAGGCCGATCTCTATTCCAGAATTGTATACAAGCATTGCAATAATTTCCCAAAATATAATTTATCTGGAATTTTTATGAAGTATGTAAAGAGGAGAGAATACTGTACCAGGCAGATCAAGCTCACTGTTTGCAATGCTCGAAATATAGGAAGACAAATATGTGAGGGTTTATACTGTACTGTATGAATGTGTCTCTGAGAGGAATCAAAGGCTATAGAATACCCAAGACGTGACACTTTTATAGTTTTGAACGGGTGAAAATTACAACGCACAACATGGCCGGTCTATCGAAGGATGCCCCGCCTTCTGAATAAAAGAGCCAATCACTAATCATAAAGTCAGCGTGTCACTGTAGCTGCCGTTAGAAGTCCCGGTTGCTATAGAAACAGTCAGTGTTCTGAGACATGTGCTTACGACTGTGCATGCACACTGGCTGGTCTAGTTGTTGTCAGATATCGTTAGTGATTTCAAATATGAAATTTAATCATAAGCTTGGTGAACAGTTTTGGAGAATTTGATGTTTCCCAATTCAAAGAGATAGGAGCAGCACTTGCAGGCCTGAGAGGCGTTTCAAAGATGGCCGCTGAGGGAAATTACTTGCTGCCTTAAAGGGACTTTGGAGGAACTAACCATCTTCAGCATTTTCATTTCCTCTTACCTCCAAGAGGAGTACTGTTTATAATTGCTGCTCTGCTTTGTTTACAGCAGAAACCAAGGAAACACTATCACTGCTGTTCCATAAGCGCCACCTGCTGTCAGTGAATGAATTTGCATTTTCATTCAGTCCATCTGCTGTTTTTGTTTTGTGCAGGTGTCTTATGTAGTATAATTTCATAAATCTAAAGTCAGACCATTCTGTCTTTGCTTTAATTCTTGAAGTTATACGATCTAATTCAAATCAAAACAACTGCTCATGCTTCATGTATGTAGGACTACTGTCTGTTCAAAATATATTCAACTTCTATCAAACCACGACCCCAAAACTGACTCCTGTGTACCATTACACCCCTAATACAGAGGTCTTGATATTAGGCAGGTGCTTTTAATGTTGTGGCTAATCAGTGTAGTGTAATCATATTAACAAAAACCAAGCAGAATGTTTATTTATTGGTTGTTGCTTGCTCATGTGTACGGTTTCATTAGCATTTTACCCACCACACTGACATATACACACATGAACATGCACACATACGCAGCTCAATATGAAAGCAGACAATAAAGTGGGGTGAGATGTGGCATTGCAGTGTCCCAGATACCAACTAACACAATGAACACAGTTCATCCCTAAACCCTCCTCCTTTTCATTATATTTCCCTCTCCCTCCCTCCAGGTTCTGGGCTAGAGCTCACATGAGAGGTGGCACACTTTGAAGATAAATATAGAAAAGAGGTGCAATCCTTACACACACATATGCACACAAGTCCAAGACACCACAACACACACCATGCCACTCCAGATTCATAATATGCACATGTTCATCCCAGCACTGGGGATTGTCACCGCTCTCCTATTGAAATGGAACGAGATCATCATAGAGTCTCCATGACAAAGACAATGGCAGCTATAAGCTCCCTAACAATGGCACTGGATTGGACCTGTTGTCTGCCTGAGCCCCCACTGGGCCACCTAAGAATGAAATTCATCCAGCATTACATTGCAGAACAAAGAGCAATCAACACAAAGCAAGATGGCAGTTCTGCGGTAGAAAACCCCCCCTTT